GCCAGGGGTCATCTTGTATGAAAACCAAAAAGACAAACTCACTGGTATCTGGTCAATTCTGACTCATAGCGACTGTGCAGACAGAGTAGATCGACCCCTGTGGTTTCCAAGGCTGGAAATCTTTTACGGAGTAGGAAAACCTCACTGTTCTCCTGAGGAGAGGTTGGTGGGTTAACTTTTGACCTTGTGGTTAACAGCTCCAGTTGTAATGCCTATAGGTGGGCCTGGTGGTTAGAATGTGAATTCAGAGCCACAGTGCCTGTGTTGATGTCCCTGCTCCACCACTCACCACTCTATGAGTTTGGGAACACCTCTGGCTATCAGTTTACCCATCTGTGAAGCAGGGCTAAGAACAGCACCCTGCTCACTGGGAAGTCTTCATGAACTTGTGCATATGAAGCACCTAGAACAGTACCTGGCACAGAACAAAAGCCAGCTGTGACTGAGTCAACCCCAACTACCAGTGACCCATCTGTGTCACGAGAGAACTACGTGCGTCCCATAGAGGATGCACACATCATTAAAGGGGGGGGGTGCTGTTAATAAAAAAGTGGGGACGGGTAGGAAGTAGTAGCATCTGATCTCTACCTTCAGAACACAGCAAAAATCTCACCACCATCAAGTTGATTCCACTCCATGGCGAGCCCACAGGACAGAGTAGAACTGTGGATTTCCCAGACTGTAAACCTGTCCCAGAGTAGAAAGAAAGCCTCAATGTTCTCCTGAAGAGCAGCTGGTGGCTTCAAACTGCTGACCTTGTGATTAGCAGCCCAAAGCATAGCCCACTATGCCACCAGGGGGGAATCACCATTATCACATGAGCTGCCCAAGATCCACATCTAGGAGAAAGGAGTCAGATAAACCTCCAACCTTCCTTACCAATTCTGACCCCAACCATCCCTCCACAGGCTTGACTGTAATCATTGTAATGACCACACAGAACTCATAGACAACACTCACAATTATGAGGTTTATTAAGGAAGTTAACAGGTTACAAATGCTCAGGATACAATCAAGACAGGGTTGGTTTTTGGGGAGGGGGATTTTTTTTGGGGGGGCGGTTCAGCCATGTCTATAGGCAGGTCTCTCTTGTGTCTTTTCCCTCTCAGCCACATGGCCCCTTGGCCTCTGCCATGCTTTTGCAATGGTACAAAGTTCTTTGAGGGATGCCAATAAATGTCCAAAAGACATGCCACTCCCTCATAAGCCTCAAACTCAAGGCACTCAATTAAGCTCCATGGGTCAGCAAACCTAGCTCCTCCAATTAAGTGCCTGGAGGCACCCACTCCACAAGCCAGCCTCCTGCTATCTAAGGCATTCAGCTTTACCTAGCTCTGGGGGCAGGGGAAGTTCACCACTGTCCCACGCTTTGGCTTTTGGTCCTGCCACCTCTCTGTCACTTCCCTGGTGTCAAAGTTTTCTGTCCCTGGATTGAGGAGGCCTGATATGCAGGGTTCTCAGGGTCCAAAAGCTATGCTCCACTCCTGGCTTGGTGGCAGCAGTAGTCAGAAGCCTCATTCTTCTTCTGAAATGGCTATTTCCCACCCAGCAAGCTGACAATATTGATCTACCCCTTCATTAGATTCCCACGTTTTAATAATCACAGTTAACTTGTTAAAAACCACTCACAACTCAATCATATAGTCCCATCAGCATCTGCCCCCTTCTCTTACCCAGATTCATCAGAAAGAAAAGGAAATACACCAGTCATTTCAGTGGGACTTACAAAGATGAGGTACCACAGATAAATAATAATAAAAGTTAAAAATCCACAGCTATCGAGTTGATTCTGACTCACAGTAATTCTATAAAAAAAAGAGTAGATACAAGTCTGGCTAGACCAGAGGATGGACACTGGTACAGATAGGAACTGGAAACACAGGGAACCCAGGATGGATGATCCCTTCAGGACCAGTGGTGTGAGTGGCGATACTGGGAGGGAGGAGGGGCGGGTGGGTTGGAAAGGGGGAACTGATTACAAGGATCTACATATAACCTCCTCCCTGGGGGGTGAGCAACAGAAAAGTGGGTGAAGGGAGACGTCGGACAGGGAAAGATATGACAAAATAATAAATTGTAAATTATCAAGGGTTCATGAGGGAGAGGGAACGGGGAGGGAGGGGAAAAATGAGGAGCTGATGCCGGGGGTGGGGGTTGGGGGGGGTTGGGTGGAGAGTGGATGTTTTGAGAATGATGAGGGCAACGAATGTACAAATGTGCTTTACACTATTGATGTATGTATAGATTGTGATGAGAGTTGTATGAGCCCCTAATAAAATGATTTTTTTAAAAACAATAAAAAAGAGAAGAATGGTCCCCTAAGGTTTCCAAGATGGTAAATATTTACAGAAGCGGACACCTTCACCATTACACAATGGAGTGGTTGGTGAGTTTGAACCATGGACCTTGCTGTTAGCAGCCCAGTGCTTAACCTACTGCTACACTAAGACTACTTAATAAGTCAACACTAGCTATTAATATCTCCAAACAGAACTGGTTGGCCACTGCAGACTTGTAGATCAGGCCACAGCCAAGCTGTTCCAGGTATTCTTGCCTTGTCCCGTCTCATTTTACATGGCAGGCTTTCTGCCACTCCAAAAGACAGTGTCATCTCCTCGGAAAAAGCCAAGTCACCTGCTGACTGACCTGCCTCGGCTGCATCCTTCTGAAATCAAACACAGGAGCATGCTCATTTCCTGCCCCAACTCGGCAGGGTAACTCCAGCCCAGGGCCAGCCTGAAGTTTGGCAAATGAGGTTTCTGTGTTGACATCATAGGCTGACCATTCAAAAACACCACCAGTTCTCAAGGTAAAAAGGGCATTTCCTAATCTCCGTATTCACAAGGTCCCAAGCTACAAGTCAGTGTAGGCCTTGCTGGATTCACAGAGATACTCTAAACAGAGAGGGGAAGAGACCCTAAAGCCATACAGTGAGCCTCACCCAGGAGACTGGATGGGAAAAGACAGTCCTTGATTTGGCTACTTACTAATCTACATGTTTTTATTATTCAATGAAGGTGTACCATCAGCCTATTCATGCTCTGCTGGCAACCTTCCCTAGGATGCCTAATCTTTCTGTGGAAAATGCCAGAGCCAACACCTTGATGGGAAATGCTTGCCACACTTTAATGGCATGCAGGCTCTCTTCCAGCAAGTACGTCTTGTATTGTTCCACCCCTCATCCTTACTCTTTCAAATCGCTAGCTGCTTTGCTGTGGGTGGAAGGTCTAAACTCCATCGGGGTTGGAGGGCAAAGAAAAGAAAAACATTCAAGGTTTTCCATACCCTTTGCAACATGCCTAAAACCTACCTGCTCAAGAGAGTGAAAATCCCAACATCCAATATTTCCACATCCTTCCAAAGAATTTACATTTTTTTCAAATTACCATAGATGCTCCACCAACTAGAACCCTTCCTTGTCTCCCAGGCTACCCCTAATGAGTCTCTCCAAAAATGAGCTGTTCAAAAGCATTGTTAATCTCAACAGTAGTGTTTCGATTAAGTCACATCTTCTCCAAGCCCAAGACGGTGTCTAAAGGCTGGTATGAAATAAACACCAGAGCCTTGCTTAATTGAATTCTACAGAGGCAAGATTGAGCACATCTCCTCCCTTTGCAGCATCTCACCTACAGCAAATACATTGTTTCTTCAGAGTTCTGCCAACTTGCTCTAAAAATCCAATGAACATTTCCAATTTCTGCCCCTTTTTTTAAATTTATGCAATTAGATGTGTGTGTGTGTGTGTGTGTGTGTGTGTGTGTGTGTGTGTGTGTGTGTGTTTCCCCCTAAGAAGCTGGCTGGAGAAACAACATTATTTTTACAAGCCTACTAATCATACAGACAACCTTTATTGTATCATAATCATTCGGGAGTCCATAATGAAAATGCTAGTTCCCTGTGTCGCGCATGAATGTGCAAGAGAAGATGTATTCACAATAGGCCAGGAGAAGTGGGAGGTGGAGAAGCAGCCCTGAATGACTGAAAGCCAGCGACAAAGTCGGTTCCTTCACCTGCCTTTGATATTCTGCCAAAGCGCACGGGCAGTGTGGTGAACACAAATCTAGCTCTAACTTCGGATTCCAAACCCTGCATTATTAATCGCCTTCCCGTGGCCACCCTTTCCAGATTCCATCCCTGAGGGGCAGCGAGCACTTCATTCCCAACTGCTCCTACCAGACTCCCATGGGGCAGCCTTGGGCTTGCGGACATTTTTCTAGCGTTCGTTTGCTACCGCTATTCTGAACCTTTCGGCCCGAGTCCCGAGTCCCCGGGCTGTGGAAAGTCACAGCGTCGCGAAGGACAGGGGCACTTAGAGCGCAGCCTGGAGCTGGCAGACCTCGACGCGTCGCGGACGCCACCCACGGGGCTCCGTTTCCCATCACCACCAGGGCCGCCCCAGGCTTTGGTTTTGCGCGCACCCACAGGGGTGACTCGGCTTGGGAAGTAAAGAAAACCAACTGTTTCCAACAAAGCCCGGTGTGTGCGGCTTGGGAAGTGCAAGGACGAATTGCGGGGGCACGCGTGGGGCTGCCTGGAAAAGGGAGGCGCTCAATCCACGATTTGGGTGAAATGTAAAGAACTATGGGGCCCTCTCAGATCCCTAGGACCTCTCTCCTGGTCTATGGAAGCTTTCAGGTGTCCTCTCCCAGCAACGAATGCTATTTCCCCACCACAGCTAGGGCGCAGCAGGGGTGAGCCACCTCCAAGCCCCGAGCATTTTGCAGACGCACCAGCGGCTCGGAGAGGAGCGACGCGCTTCGCTGGCTCCGTTCCTCCAAGGGGCGCGCAGCCCGCCCCTTCCCCCCTCCCAGGACAGTCTAAATCCAGACAGCGGCGCCCCAGGCGCAGCGCCCCAGCCCCGAGGCCACTCCGCGAAGAGCGCGCGCCGGGCCGCGCTCCCAGCGCTCGGTCCCGGGGGTCCAGGCTTGCATCCCGGGGAGCTAGGTGGGCAGAGCAGGGTCGCGGGACGCCCCCGCTTCTCCGGGCTCCGAGCCCCGTACCTCGCAGCCGTACAGCTGACCCAGCTGCTCCACGATCCACTCCTCCAGCACCAGCCGCTTCCGGAGCTCTTTCCGATCGTATTTCACCGTCACTTTTCCCTGCTGGTGGCGCCGCTGCTGCTG